GCTCGGGCGCATTTTTGGCTTTTGGGGAGTGAATCAGCAGATAAAAGTGCTCCCTGTTTATCTGCCTCTCAAATAAATCATTTTTAAAAAATCAAATGAAAATAATTAAAGTAAGTGAGGTCACCTTAACTTTCTGCTCAAAACCTTCCTGTGGCCTCTCTTCTCATGCAGGCTTAAAGGAACTTCTAGCATGGCCAGCAAGGCCGTGCAGCGTCAGGGTCTTCCTCTCCCTGCCTGTCTGACTTCGTCTCTTACTGCTGTGTCCAACATCAGGCCAAAGAACCTCACAGAACGTATCCTACTACCATGAATACACCCCTACAGGTGAGAGCGAGATCCGCGTCTCCCTCCACTCTACCGTGGATTTGGGGTTTGTGAACTCACAGATTACAGATGGAAAAGGCGAGACCCAGTGCAATCCATCAGCACGTCCTGTGAGTACCAGTCATCACTGTCTGTCGTTTAGTCTTCTAGAACGTCAAGTCATCGGCCGGCCACCGAGCGATCCAAGAAGACAGTGTCACAAAACCGTATCAACCAGGTCCCCGTCACACAGAGCCACACGCTCTGTTTCAGTCCATCTGTTCCAATCTTTGTTATTAGCTTTAAACACAGCGCATGACTGAAGCAGGACCTCAAGAATGAGACCAAACTAAGATTAGGTAAATGAAGCCAGTGCCATGAGCCTTTTCACATGCACAAAATTAACTGTGCAAAAAGGTATTGTATGTCCTAAGTATTTGCAAGATTGCACAGTAGATCTAAATAAGCACAAATTTGTATTATTACTATTATTATTTGCATTATTAGTAAATAAAATCAGTGTCTTATTGTTAGTATACTTCTACTTTTTATGTTAAAATTATGTTAAACATCATTCCATTTGTTGATTTTGTAAACTAGGGAAGATTCAGTCCACTTGGACAATAGCAATGATGAAGACAAGGAAATCAGGACAGCCTCAAGCTGAGTTAAAAAATTGCATTTGACTCCTGACTGTCTGGGAACAGACTCACAGCCCCTCCTCAGCACTTAGTTGCTGCCTGCCCTGTGCCAGACCCGCATTCCTGTGCCTGGATCTCAGGGCAAGAGGAATTCAAAAGGAGAAACCATTCTCAGAGCTGGGATCCCCTCTCCAAGTTATAAAACTAAGCAAACTTCTAAATGCTTACAAAATCAATGTAGCAAAGTCTCGTGTCCTCAGGTCATTAGAAATGCATTTAATTCCGTGATCCCCTGGAGATCTGGCGTGGCCCAGATGGCAACAGGTGTCCAGGAGAGGGGACCGCGTGTCTGGTTGGAGAGGGTAGACAGTGATGAGCCCAGTCAAGTCTGCTTTGCAAAACCTTATTCTGTTAGATCTTCTGTAAACTGTTTATCATTTTTGGCAATATTCCCTGAAGCACTCTGTACACACATCTTATGTTGCAGCAACTCCACTTCCAGATATAAACCCAGCAGAAACTTGTACACGGGTTCCCCCAAATATTTTAAGAAAGTACTCATAGCAACATTACTCATAGTTGTCCCAAACCAAAAATACTTCAAATGCTGTTCAGTAGCAAGATAGAGAGATGCATTGTGATACAGTCACAGAGAGAAATTCTGTGTGTTGATGAACAGGAGCATATTACAGCTCCACCCACAGCAGGGAAAATTTCACAGACAAAGTGGTGCACAAATGCAGGCAGATGGTAGGGACGATGCGGCAGCGCACCTTGCCGAAAGGGAAACAGGCGAAGTATTCCGACATGACAGAAGTCGGGACACTGGCAGTGGCCCTTACAGACAGGCGAGAACGGGAGTCTGTGGGGTGCTTAGACTCCGGATGTGTTACAGGAATCTGTCCACTTTGTGAAAATGCAAGGTCACACATGTAATTTAATTTAGATTACAAAAGGACGCGTAAGTTCTCTGTCAATAACTGCCGAATCCACAACAAGCCACGCCGGCAAGATCTCCTCTTTGCACAGGGACTGACAGGGCAGCTCTCCAGGCGCCAGTCAGAGCTGCACATCATTTTACACCGGGTGTCCAGTAGCTCGTTTAGCTCCCATACTAGGGCATAATTTAATAGCCCCCAGTAGTTATCTACAGGCATGACTCTTGATGTGGGATTTAAGTCAACAGAAAATCTGGGCTGGGCTCATTCACTTAAACCTTAAATACGCTCTGCTGTAGGAAATCCCAATATAACATCTTTTTTACCTAAAAATAAACATTGAGCGCAAGGTGGAGAAAGGGAGCTCCAACCTCTGCTGTTGCAATCGAGGCGCCCACATAACCACTGCACCTGCCTCATTTTACATCTACTCCAGTTATGCAAATTCACTTCCCTGAACAAGGGTCTGTTCTTGTCCTAGTTTCACATATGAGGACAGGACTCGTATTTTAACACAACAGTAAGGTAAGATGTTTTACATGGCTGTATTCTACATTTGCTAACAAAATGTGTTAAATCATTTTAAAAGAACAATTTTGCAAGATGTTCATTATAATAACTTAGTATGCAAGCAAATTATGTGATGTTATATTTTTTAAAAGATTTATTTATCTGAAAGGCAGAGTATAGAGATGTAGAGGCAGAGAGAGAGAGAGAGAGAGAGAGGCAGGGAGAGAGAGAGAGGGAAAGAGAGAGAGAGAGAGAAAGTCTTCCACTCCCCAAATGGCTGCAATGAATGGCTTGAGCTCAGCCAGTCCGAAGCCAGGAGCCAGGAGCTTCTTCCGGGTCTCCCATGTGGGTGCAGGGGCCAAGAACTTGGGCCATCTTCTGCTGCTTTCTCAGGCCCCAGCAGAGAGCTGGATTGGAAGTGGAGCAGCCAGGACTCAAGCTGGCGCCCATATGGGATGCCAGCATTGCAGGCAGCAGCTTTACCCACTATGCCACAGTGCTGGCCCCATGATATTATATTTTTTAAACATTAGGCTCCAAAAAAGAATATTGTATACAGACAAATACAGATATTCACAGATTCTTTTTAAAATATGAAAAATATTCATACACTTAACTAATTTATCATAACATTATTTTTTTTTAATTTTTTTTGACAGGTAGAGTGGACAGTGAGAGAGAGAGAGAAAGTTTTTCCTTTTCCGTTGGTTCACCCCCAATGGCTGCTGCGGCCAGCGCACTGTGCTGATCCAAAGCCAGGAGCCAGGTGCTTCCTTCTGGTCTCCCATGGGGTGCAGGGCCCAAGCACTTGGGCCATCCTCCACTGCACTCCCTGGCCACAGCAGAGAGCTGGCCTGGAAGAGGAGCAACCGGGACAGAATCCGGCGCTCCGACCGGGACTAGAACCCGGTGTGCCGGTGCCGCAAGGCGGAGGATTAGCCTAGTGAGCCACGGCGCCGGCCAACACATTACTTTATATTACTTCACAATATTTCACCAGATTTTTAAAAATATTTATTTTATTTATTTGAAAAACAGAGTTAGAGAGAGAGAGAGAGATTGAATGAATCTTCCATTTGCTGCTTTACTCTCCAAATGGCTACGTTGGCTGAGCCAGGCTGAAGTCAGGAGTCTGGAGCTCCCTTCGTATCTCTCCATGGATGGCAGGGGCTCAAGTACTTGGGCCACCTTCCACTGCTTTCTCGAGCACGTATTGGGGAACTGAATCAGAAGTGGAGCAGTCAGGACTAAAACTGGGACTCAAATGGGATGCTGGTGTTGCGGGTGGTGGTTAAACCACCGAGTCACAATGCAGGTCCCTCACTAGGTTTCTAGAACAACATTTAATTGTGAATTGAGAAACCAAAGATGGATGCTGATAGATAAACTCAGACAATGAGGCAAAAGGCACTGTGGTTTTTTTTATTTGACATACAAATTAGCAGCAACACAAAGAAAAATACCACCCATTCCTCCAATATCAAAACTCCCACTACATCTATCATTTTTTTATTAAGTATAACATTGTAAGATGAAATAAGTGGCAAAAATATATTTTATTTGAACCAAAAAGCAAGAATGATAGATTTAAACAAGTTTGATTTTAGACACAAAATTTAAATCATGTTCTGTGTTTTGAAAAGTATATCTTAAAAATATTGTAAAAGTAGATGGGACAATTAGTGTAGACTGGCGTCTATTTTTCCATCTACTGTTTAGTGCAAAAACCTGCTGACACAGGAAAGAAGACAAGCAAAGCAAGGGAATCTGATGTTACCAAAGGTCAGGACTACAGCTCTCAAGTACGATTCTTTACGAAACGAAAGTCAGGATTATGGCGTCTGAGATGCCATGATGTCTGTAAGAGAGCATGGCCCTTGCAGAATTCAGGGAGCTAAGAAGTTCAATCAACCTCAGCTTCTGTATCGCGAGTAATGGGATTTTTTAAACACAGTCTGGGCCATGTGAACTATGATAGCAGCCGTTTGAAACAGAAAAACAGGAAATAAAGAGAAACCATATTGCGTTATCATAAGAAGAAGAGCAATTATTTTCCAATATATGCTTTCCATGCATAAATTGGAATTGTCCTCCACTAAAACTTCTGAAGTAGCTGAAACTCATTGTGAGAAACACACATACACAGACAAATGAGGAAAGTCTTCCCTCCTGTGAAAAATGTTTGGGTAAACTCATAAAAATGGCAACTTAAGTCCCAAACGACGTAACTAGTATCCTGTTGTCAGTTCAACAGTTTTGAGTTTTAAAATTGAAGCCTGTAATTATTCATTCGTGCATTTGATGCAAGATTTCTAGAAATTTGCTTTTACTTTTACTTCTAAAATGTTAACTGACAAGGAAAGGGGCATATTTAATAAACAGTAAAGAACAAATGCTGAGATTTCCCATGGATACCTTGACGGCCCCCAATGTGGGCACTCCTGCCATTGGAAACTGTGGAATCCCGCTTTGGAAGGAACCATTCCCTCCCCTTCCCACTCTGCACTTCCTCCCAGACAGGAAGCCATGACTGAGTTGTTCAATGTGGAATGATAGTGGCATGTCTTTCTAACTCTATCTTTCCTTAAATGGGCTTTATTTCTCGTAATTCACATGACAGTCTCTGGCTGTGGTTGTCTGTTAAATTTCCTGTTTTGGACTAGTTTCAGCAAACCAAAACAAATAGCTCGCAGGGCAGGCTACCGTGACTACTGCTTGTTCCTTTCGCTAAGTGTTTTCCCGGTGGAGGTTAAGAGAAAGAGAGGAGAGCAGGTCACAACAGCTTCAGTGCACCGAAGAAAGTGCCATCTCCATCTCGCGATATCTGTGCATTTTCTCGTGGTATTGCAAGTTGAAGTTCGTCCCCCTCCTCCAGCTTTGCAATGCCTAGGAAAAACCATTAGCAAGAATGTAAGTGTCTGTATGATGGAAAAGAGACCCAAAAAATATTCTTACATAAAGCTATTTTGTTTTAGAAGACTTGAACATAGGCACTCATGCTGCAAAGTACACCCCAATGGACTTCTGCACAAGGTACAGTTCCTTTAGCCTAAACAAACAATCAGCAAAATAACAAGAGGGTGTTACAACAGATGTAAGCATTTTTATCATAGCTTAAAAAAAAGTAAGTAAATCATAGCACATCCCTTGATAGAATATTGTATAGTTAAATATGGGTTTTGCTTCATTTTATTGACAAGGAGGTATTTCACAATAATAGAAAAATGAAAATGTAAAAAAATGCATATTCATTTATATGATAGTCAAAAACACAAAAATCACACATATTCATATTTAATAGTCCAAAAACACAGAAAAAATACCATACACACATTCTGAATTGTCCTTACGGAATTTTAAATGTGCACATAAAACAGTAGGTGTTAAAAAGAGTAAAACAGAATATCAGGGTGAGCATGGCTTAGTGAGTAAGAGGCCCGCATGCCATATCAGAGAACTGGCTTCCATACCCATCTCCAGGGCCTGACTCCACTCTTGCCTTTGTGGTCCCTGAGAGGCAGCAGCGAGGGCTCAAGTGGTCAGGTTCCTGCCATCCATGTGGGAGACCTGGATTAATTCCTGGCTCCCAGCTATGGCCTAGCACAGCCTCTGCTGTGGCAGGCATTGAGGGAGTGAACCAATAGATAGGAGCTCTCTATCTCTGTGCTGCCCAAATAATTTTTAAAACAACATTCATTAACATAGAACAACTGCAAACATCGTTTTTTCTCTAGAATCAAGAACATGGATTTAGGCATCATGTGGATTCCGTTTTAGTGCCTTGCATATTATATTCCTATAAATGGCAGTTTCTTGCTATGATCAAATGCACCAAATTAATTAGTTCCTTAAGAGTGACTAAAAAATATGCATGCACTTAAACTACAATGAGTCATAAATCTAAGAAAGAGGAATCAGGTTATCAGGTGATGTAAGGAAAAATGTGACGAAGAAAGAAGAGGAACAAGGAAGAAAAAATAAACTATCAAGTAAAATCACTGGTTTCTGAGTGGCCAATATTTAGAACTAACAAATTAAAGAGTAGTTGTATTGTTTCTTTCGCATAGAGTGAAAATTCACTAATATAAACATACCTGCGTTCACTGATGTCTGTTCTATCTTAAAGCCCAAAGCACCCAGATTTTTCTGAGGCAAGAGCCTGCCAGAGTTTGTTTATTGAGCACTTACTGTGTGCCAGACACCCTCCCAGCAGGCACAGAGTAATGATCAAGTGGACAGGTTCCCATCTCCAAAAGTCCTAGGTATGTGTAATAACCCAAACCAACAACAAACAGAAGAATCTATTTTGCAGTGCAAGGATAATGTCTATGGTTTCTAGCATTGGCAGAACATTTGAAGAGTGCCTTAAATGATTTAAAAAACAAAACAGACTTATTTGTTAAATAGATATTTGTCATTATTGTAGAAATTAAAATGACCTAATAATTTATCCAAAGGTGTAGAATAAAGAGTATTGAGGGTGCTGGTGCCCTGGTGCAGTAGGCTAATCCTCCACCTGTTGTGCCAGCATCCCATATGGGTGTCAGTTCTGGTCCTGGCTGCTCCTCTTCCAATCTAGCTCTCTGCTATGGCCTGGGAAAGCAGTGGAAGATGGCCCACGTGTTTGGGCCCCTGCACCAACATGGGAGACCCGGAAGAAGCTCCTAGCTCCTGGCTTCAGATTGGCATGGCTCCGGCTGTTGAGGCTATTTGGGTATGAACCAATCGAAGGAAGACCTTTCTCTCTTTCTCTTCCTCCCACTGTCTGTAACTCTACCTCTCAAATAAATAAATAAACTCTTAAAAAAAACAGAATGTAGAGTATTGAGTGATGCTAACTCTAGCAATTAAGTGGGTGTGAGCCTATTGGTTCTATTTAACATCCCAACACTGAGCTAGTGGCTATTTCAATTCTTCCAGATGACAGCAATCAGCCATAAAAAACTGTAACTTTTTCTACAACGAACATATTTGTCAATGAATTAACAAGTAAGAGTCAGGTTCATGTATAGAAGTGGTTCCTTACTTTACTGTATTTTTTCAAGGATTTATTTATTTGAAAGGGACAGAGAGAGAGATCGATTGATCTTCCATCTGCTGGTTCACTCCCCAGGTGGCCACAACAGCTGGAAGTGTGCCAGGCTAAAGCCAGGACTTTCATCCAGGTCCCCCACACGGGTGGCAGGGGCTGAAGTCCTTGGGCTATATCCCACTGCTTTTCTGGGCACATCAGCAGGAAGCTGAATAAGAAGCAGGGCACCCGGCTCCGGAGCTGGCTCTCAATATGGGGTGCTGGCGTTGCAAACAGTGTCTTAACTCCTTGTGCCATGACACTGACCCCAGAATTGTCTTAGGCTTATGAGGTTGGCCACTTAATTTTTTTCAGGGTTTTATGGAAGCACTTTATGCATTTATACACTAATGTGATGTTTTAATCATTTAAAACAAAATTTGTCCCCAGAAGATGAAACTGCAAATCTACAGTGTAATTGAGACTGGTGGTTCTCCCACACAACACTAAATCATGAGGGTCAAATCAACTGCACATCTACAGTGTAATTGAGACTGGTGGTTCTCCCACACACCACTAAATCATGAGGGCCAAATCAACTGCAAATCTACAGTGTAATTGAGACTGGTGGTTCTCCCACACACCACTAAATCATGAGGGTCAAATCAACTGCACATCTACAGTGTAATTGAGACTGGTGGTTCTCCCACACAACACTAAATCATGAGGGTCAAATCAACTGCCCCTGAGAAGGAGCACCAAGGAATCTGGCAAAGCCTCTAACCGGAGTGAAATGAGAGGGGAACAGATGACTACAAACTTTAAAGAGAGTTGTGAAACTCCAAGTACTAATGAACATAGATAAATAGCAGATTGGGGTGGCCTAGCCATTTATAAACATTTTGCAATACCAAAATGCTGGTCAGCACTGGGTACAAGAAATGTTTCTTTATGAAAATTAGGGAATTCCAGTTTAATGAACTTCCTCTTCCCCCCCCATTGAAGTCCGCAGGTCCAGAATGACATCATCTGTAATCATCAACCATTTTTCTTGATTTCTAGCTGATTCACTGGGCATTTGTCAAGCTACCTTTGAAACCTAGTGCTTCCAGTTGCACAGCCAGTCCCCGATCCAGTGTCTCAGGCTGTCCTCAGTAACTGTATGGAACTGAAGCCAGTCCCCAGGTTCCAAATAGATCATCAACCTTGATTAATTTACAATTGACCTCCAGAAATAAAATGAAGGGAGGTTGGCAATTTCAGCTAACATAGACCTGAAATTAACAAGGCCTGCCCCTGTCTTTGCCTCCTCATCGTGTCACATCCATGGTCACTTGTCCATGGTCGGACAGCTCATTGCACCTGCTGTCACCTCTGTGGGAGTCAGAGAGCAGTCTCTGTGTCACTCACCCTACCCTCTGTAGCCTGGGCAGGAGAGTCCAGGGGTCCACACTGTTTGGGAACATAGTAGCTGTGTGTCCTGGGACAATTATGTCAGCTCAGGGTCTCAGAGTCCACCTCCCTCACACGGGAAGATTAAATGAGTAAGCCAGTGTCAAGTATAGGACAAAGTGCCTGGCAGATTGGCACGGCTCTGTGAAAGTCTGGTAGCATTATTGCCGCCATTGACGATGAAGGAAGCGATCTACATAGAATGTATGAACCTGCTTCCCCCTGCCTAAATTTCTATAGCAATGATTAGGCTGTCTCAGCTCCTCACTGGAGATACAGGACACACAGTAGACCGAAGAATGTCTTTTCTAGTTGTGTTTCAGACACCTTCCTTTGTGGTTTGCGCCGTGCAGCTCAGGTTTTCCCATTGCCTCCCTTCATTCCACAACAAACAAGTCTGAGAGCTAATACTTACCAGCTGAATAGCAGGAATTGTTGGGTAGCGTCTCCGGCATGTTTTGAATGCAACGGAACAAAGTCACCAGACTCAGTTCGTCCCCGAAGACGTGGACCTTCTTCCTCTGAATCAGGTGCCCCATGGCAAAGGTGCTGTCGGTGTACAAGACCTGGCAGACACAGCAAAGAGCGTGGTCAGGAGTGATCACAGCACAAGGTGGGAGGCGCGGGCGGAGGGCGCAGGTCTGGGTGCAAACCTACCTGACCGTATATGAAGAAGTACCCGGTTTCTTTGACCACTATTTTATTCTCTTTTTCTTCTAGGGCTCTTCCTCTTTTAAAGCTGAGAAGCCATGGAACAAATGTGTAAGATCCTACAAGGAAGAGCATCATTTGTAAGAAAAGAAACAGAGAAAACTCAAACTTTGTTGCTGAACCGAATCTGAAACTTGGAGGGTTCCATCCTTGAAAAACAGAAGAGTAGGAGACCAAACACGACGCTCCCTGGGGGTGCCCCCATCCCTATGTGTTAACCTGTGTGTCTATTGGATACAGGAACCTGGCACCAATGGCAAGTAGCATCTGGGTTTTCTTTCATTTTTGTGGGTTTAAGATTGTTCACAGGAAACCCTGATATGTATGAGCGAGTTGGAACTCAATCATGGACAACTCTTGGGGGGATTTTCTGGGGTTCCCAAAGAAGAGGGCATCAGGAGCGAGTGAGTCCCCCACAACACAGTGCAGAGCAGAGGCCAGGGAGAAGGAAGTCAGTGGCCACGACATGACCTTCAACAGCAAAGGTCAAGGTCCTCTGGGACGGCCGTGGGGCTGCTGTGCAGAACACCAGTCCCCCTGCATTATCCTTGGAGCATCACTGGGGAGGGACAAGGAGGCCCCTGGGCAGACAGAAACCAACAGCTGCAGAGTGGGGAGCACCAGCCACAGAGGCGGGGCAGGTCTGGGTGCCCCTGGACATGAGCACTCACCGAGGAACATAGACACTCCTTCCCCGAGAATGCACAGCCCAAGTCTCTGGGGTGCTCACGGTTGCATTGTGTGAGGGTTGGAGGAAGGGTGAGCTCCAAAGGTAGAGGCTGGGAAAGGTGAGGGGTACAAAGTGGTGCAACACATGTGACTGGAGATTAGGGAAATGGCCATGTTGGGATGCAACGGAAAACAAAGGTTTGGTAGTCAGCAATCATTTTAAACTGTTCCTGTAAAGTGGGTAGTGGTGGGTGCTGAAGTTTGGAACTCAGCTGAAACCTGATTTCCAATGGAGTGGTATTGGAACGGTATTGGCTGGGCTATGGGCTCTTCATCATGGATGGATGAGTGTGGGCACAGGCATTCTGGCTTTCCTGGTCTGGGTTGACTCGAGAGAACAAGTCATTTAAAGCAAGGTTGCTTCCACCACTATCAGATGTGGCCCCTGATCTTGAACTTTCTTGCCTCCAAAATTCTGAGCTAAAATAAACTTCTTTTATTTATACATTACACAATCTTAGGTATTTTGTTATGGCAACACAAAACAGACTAAGATGGGCCATATTTTTCCTTGGTCATAATAAGAAAGTTGACAAAAGTAACAGTAAAACTCAGAATCTGAAAGAGACAATTGGCCAGAAGCCCAAGAGAAGATTGAGTTTTCCTAGTATTTTGGTGGCAGAAAATCTTCTGTGGGTTCTCACACAAGGGCGCAGTGTGGCACGGGGGCTGACGATGACTCACATTCCACAAACGCAATCGCAAGCGTGCATGCCTGTTTCAGAGACTGCCCTCAAGTGAAACCAACTGTATTCGAAACTTTTCCAGGTTAGGTTCTTGAGGGAAGAATATAAAGCCAGAACCACACGTTTTCTGAATGCTTTGAAGGAGTTGAGAACTCTGGGTGATTAAAACTAATTACTCCATTAATACAGGTTAAAATGAACAACTGTGCCTTCAGGCAGAGGGAGGAAAAATGCCAAGGAAAATGGGGAGACGGGAGGGAGGAGTGAGAAGGAGGAGGGTAGATGATGGATGGGGAGACCCCACCACCTTCTTAGTGCCTCCACCCATCCCAGGGGCCGGCTCCATCGCTGTCTTTCCCTGGACATGCATTTGCCCTGACACGCAAACCTTCCCAAAGAAGAAGAGCTCTTGCAAACCTTTGCCTTAAATGAAAACTCCTCCTGTGGCACAATGGCTAATCCCAATGGCTAATCCCTGGGCAAAAGATCACCTCCGTTGCAAATGACAGAGTGGCATCACCTTCACCTACTTTATTATTTCAATGAAAAGATTCCAATAAAATTATTTTCCACTTTGTGTAAATAAGATGATGCAGCCAGCATGTTTTTAAATGTCAAGTGCTGGAAATTAGGAGGAATTAATGTAATGGCAGCTACAATTGTAAAATGTAGACACATGTCTTTGAAGGTGATTGCTTCAATAGTCTAATGATACTGCTTTGATGCTCTGTTCAAAAGGGGTTTTAGTCTCTCCGAACAATGCTGGTGGGTGTCTTAGCTACTATTATCTGCAATTTCAAGGTCTGTTTATCTATCTATCTATCTATCATCTATCTACCTACCTACCTATATTAATTAATGTTTGGCTCCCTCCTGCTTCCCCAGGGGCTTAAAATGGTGACAGCGCCCACAGCAAGTAGTTTTTCACTTAACCGATTCAATCTTAGACATAAAATAATTCAAAATAGCAGCATGCTATGACAGTTCATCACAAACATTTGATTTTTTAAAAAAACATTTTGTACCAATTATTGAAATTCTGGGAAGTGAAATAAACTTTGTCATGGAGCTCATATACACTCTTGAGTTGAAGTGAAACATACTTCTACAAGTACTTGTGTTTATTCTGGCTAGAGATATTCATCTGCTTAAGTTTCTTTTGTAATCATTTAAATGCATTTCCTATTTATACCGTATCTATATTGAGCAAATTAATGACCCAGTTCTTCATAAATTTCTTGGTGGTATTGTCAGAACAGAAAGAAAACTGATGATGAGATCTGCATTCCTAGTTTCTCTTGGCATCCATCAGCTCTTTCTGGCAACATTTCTGTTAATGAGACTGAGTGTATGTTTGCTTGCCTTTGTTCACTGTCTGTATGGCTCACTCACTTCACACTCACACTGTTATAAGCATAAATGCACACACACACACACACATACACACACAGGGATTCTCCTCCATGGGATCTGAGTTTGCAACGCACAGTCACAGTTGTACACTCAAATGCCAGGAATAGAAGCTAGCACACAGCAGTACAGCCAATGAATATGCGCTGTTGAATGAATTCCAAGCACTTTAAGAACACAGACTAAATAACAAATTTAAGGCCAGAGTACCTATAAACTTAAGCAAAAATACACTATAGCATGTTTCTACATCTTAAAATAGTCTTAGATTTTTAGCATGCTAGTGAGACTACAGATAAATGCAAACAAGACAACATGCATTGATGCTTAGTTTGTAGTGTTCTTTTCTAAACTATCATATGTCGCTCTTTATAGCAGATATTTAAGAGTTTTGAAATAAATTTCAAGGGTATTAGTGCTTATTATAAGACAGCAGCTAAAACACACAGATGCATCTTCATACAAATGTAACTTCATATGAAGTGTCTGGGCTTTCCAACCTCCATCAGTTTTAAATACTTGATTACTAAAATGTCCTTGAAAAGTGAGCAACTTGATAATTACATTAATATCTGGAAGTAGGTAAAAATAGCTTCAGTACTAATAAGTGAATGCCTTCGCACACATTTCTGAAACCATCTGCCCTTAAAAAATAGCCTTTTCCCTCTTCTGATGTATGTGGGAAAGATGCAGATAAATTTCAGGATGAGAAGTTTTATAGCAAATACATTTTCACTAATATTTGCTTTTGATTCTATTACATAGAGAAGGCATTTCCTCCCAAATAGTCACAGTTGCAGCCCTGCCTTCCTCAAGGACTGAAAATCAGTGCCACGAAGAGCAGCTGTCATTCAAAGCTGTCATCCTGGGTTCCTTCTCGCGAGTTTCTATTTTATTGTCTTAAAACAGATTGAAATAATTTTAAGACAGAAGATACTGATGATGCTTTTTAAAAGTAGCTGAGAAAATCAAGAAATAGTAACTCTGTTAGAAATACAGTTTGGCACAGTAATCATATGCTTGTTTCTGCAGAGGCAGGGGGCAGAAAAATCAGCAGAACACACGAGTCCGTCAGCAGGACCACGGAGGCTGAAGCATCTTGGGGGCACTGGAGGCCACTAGGGGCTGTATGCACGGGGAGCCATGATTGCACCTGCATTTTAGGGACATCCCAATTTGGCTGCCAGTTAAGAAAAACTGCACATCTGGAGGCAAGAAAATTGATCAAAATACAAGTGGCAGTGGCTTGTGTTATGATAGTGAGACGGAACTGTGGATGGAGATAGATTAAATAAAAGTGTATTCGAAGGAAAGAAGGCATTTGGAAAAGCAGGTGAATACTGCTTGGGAAATCTGCATCCCACATTAAAATGCCTGGATTCAAGTCCTGGCTCCAGCTTCTCGCATGCATAGTGGTAGGCAGTGTCGATGGCTCAAATACTGGGTTGCTGCCACCCAAGTGGGAGACTTGGATTGGGTTCCAGAATCCTACTTTTGGCTTAGCTCAGGTCTGGTTGTTGTGGACCTCTGGGGAGTGAGCCAGGGACCCATGTATGGTTGGACAATTTTTCACATCCTCCTTTCAAATATAAATAAATAAATAAATGTTTTTAAAGTATATGTAGGAGGAATAATTGATATATTTTTGAGATTAATGTGCTGAGCTGTAGGGAGTATTCCAGAAAATATCTGCATAGGGCAACTGCCTGCATAGTTATATCCCCTCCTGGAACAGGGAACCCTGAGAGATGAACAGATCCAGGGTACGTTCTGGATCTCAAGCCGAAACAAAGCCAGGACACACCAGGTGATCAAAGGACTGAGGTGTACACAGCCTGGAGCTCTGCGAAACATCTGGGTGATTTGGGAATGTAAGAATTAGCAAATATAGGATAATAACACCATAAGAAAATGTAAGGATGATAAAGAAATAAGAATAATGAAAAGAGAATGGGACCATGCCAGAGTTCTGAAAAACATCAACATTTACAATTTACTTTTAATAACAAATTGTGAAACCTTAAAAAGGAGTGGCCACAAGATAGGAAAAATGGGTTAGAGAAACAACCAATGAAGCCATGTGCTTCAGGAAGAAGGGAGTCACCAAGTAACAAATTTTAGAAGATTTAGAAGTAATTCTCAACACAGCCTCCATGAAATAATTACATGAAAAGGGATCAATAAGAGACTTCCACTTACAACACAATTGTGGAAAATGTGTCTCTCCTTTTCTA